AAAAAATTTAAAAAAAAAAAAAAATAAATAAATAAATAAAAAAAATAAAATTGTCAAACTCATAGCCAAATTTATCAAAAAAAAAAGACAAGACATAAATATACATAATTAGGAATGAAAAGGGTGAAATCACAATGGACCCTGCAGAAATCCAGAAGAGTATCTATACTTACTTTGAAAACTTGTATTCTAATATGATGGAAAATGCAGAAGAAATGGACAGATACCTACATACATATGAATTACCAAAACTGAATCAAGAAGATATAAAAGTCAGAGCTGGGCATGGTGGCGTATGCCTGTAATCCCAGCACTCAGGAGGCTGAGGCAGGAGGATCATTGTGAGTTCAAGGCTAGCCTGGGCTACAAAGTGAGCTCGAGGCCAGCCTGAACTGCATAGTGAGACCCTGTCTCAAAAAGACAAAAAAAAAGAAGATCTAAACATCTTAAATAAACCAATATCAATCAATGAAATTGAAGATGTAATTAAAAACCTACCAACAAAGGAAAGTCCAGGCCGTAATGGATTCAATGCAGAATTCTACAAGAAATTTAGAGAATACCTAACACCACTACTTCTCAAACTCTTTAATGAAACTGAAAGGGAAGTAATACTCCCAAATGTATTCCTGAAAGTAAGCATTACCCTGATATCAAAACCACAGAAAGACCCAACCAAAAAAGAGAACTACAGGCCAATCTCCCTAATGAACAATGATGCAAAAATCCTCAATAAGATATTGGCAAACAGAATGCAGCAAATCATCAAGAAGATTATACACCATGACCAAGTGGAATTCATTCCAGGGAGGTAGGGATGGTTCAACATATGTAAATCAATAAATGTAATACACCATATCAACAGAGCCAAGGATAAAAATCATATGATCATCTCAACAGATGCAGAAAAAGTCCAACACCCATTCATGATTAAAAAAAAAAAACCCTACAGAAAATTGGAATAGATGGTCTTTATCTCAATCTGATAAAAGCCATCTATGACAAACCAACAGCCAACATCATACTAAGTGGACAAAAACTGAAAGCTTTCACTCCAAAATTAGGAACAAGACGAGGATGGCCACTGTCTCCACTCTTATTCAACATAGTCCTGGAAACTTTAGGCAGAGCAATTAGACAAGAGAAAGAAATAAAAGGAATAACGACAAGAAAAGAAGAAGTTAAATTATCATTATTTGCAGATGACATGATACTTTACGAAGACCCCAAAAACTCCACTAAAGAACTGGAGATTTAATAAGCAAATTCAATAGCATAGCCAGATACAAAGTCAACACTGAAAAATCAATAGCCCTCCTGTACATAAAAAATAAACTCACTGAGAGAGAAATTAGGGAACCTACACCTTTTACAATAGCAGCCAAAAAAATGAAATACCTAGGAATCAATCTAACGAAGGATGTAAAAGAGCTCTACATTGAAAACTACAGTACTCTAAAAAAGGAGACTGAAGCAGATATCAGAAAATGGAAAGATATTCCTTGCTCTTGGGTAGGAAGAACCAATATAGTGAAAATGGACATTCTTCCAAAACTGTTCTATGGATTTAATGCAATTCTGATAAAAATTCTAATAGTATATCTCACAGAATTAGAGAATACAATCCTAAAATTCATTTGTAACTAGAAGAGACCCAGAATAGCAAAGGTAATTCTGGGCAACAAAGGCAAGGCAGGGGCATTACAATCCCTGATTTGATGTTTTTTTTTTTTTTTTTTTTTTTGGTTTTTCT